CGCAGATCCACATAGCTAGAGGCGGTCATGATTCGTAGCCCGAGTCACGATTCCAATGAGGTGGACCACGTGGCTAGGAGCCATGACCTCCCGTACACACCAAAGCCAACACGCCTCGCCTGGAGCACCGCCTCGGGCCATGGCTCTTGCCTCCAATGGCCGGGGCATGTGGAGGCACTCCGGCGCGGCATCGGCCTCTTGCCAGCTTTACAGGTTGGTCTAGGATGGAGATGATGGAGTGAGAGGAGGGATACACTGACGGGTGGGCCCTTTGTATATAGTTTAACAGTTCAGTCAAACATGTGTGAATTTTCTTTGGCGCATTAGCACTGACAGTCATGATGTCAGATTTTGCATCAAAACGTGGTCGAGTGGGTTTTTAGTGCTTTTGGCAAAAAAATCTATTGTTTTTGCAAATTGTTATCAAAACAGTGTATTTTTCTTTATTCATCGTGCACAACAAGCACTGGAACGGTATTATTTTTTACGACGAGTCGCCACCTTTGCAGCGGTTGCTAGACAAGGTTCTTGTCAAGGGTAGAGCTTGGAGGACAGCGGGATTGTTGAGAATACCGGATTTAGATCTCTTCTTCTCGTAGATTTAAATGTGGGTGTCGAATGAGACGTAGGTTTATGTGTTAGCGTGAAGTGGACGGGTGTGTTGTAACACCCTCGGTGGAGGGCTCTTGTACCATTTTTCTCTCTCTCAATATATATGATGTGCATGCTATGTGTATTTTCGAGAGAGAAAAAGGTGGTTTTTGGCAATTTACTCTCCCAGTCCCGACGCCGCGGTCACAGCCGCAGCCGACTGGACGCCGCAAGCCGCGCAGCGCCGGTGAAGAGCCGGACCTGTCACCTCCTCCGCTCCCGTCAGTTCCGGCCACTTCACCGCGAGCCCCGCTGGCCCTCAAAGGCCTCAACATGGCAGGTCTGCTGCTGCGTAGGTTCATCCGGATCCAGCCCCGTGCGCCTAACTGAGGGGAGAAACCAAGGTTTTGTATGCCTCACCGTGGCCCATGATTGCAGGCGCACCTGGAGGTGAGGGGGGAGCAGGCCGCTGCTGAAGTTGGTGAGCTGCAGCTCCGTTCGTTTTAAATCTCTTTCGACCTAGATCTCCCGGCTCCTGATTGTGTGCATTAACCAAAATATACATCTCTGCTTATTTATATCTTTTTTGTCATATTATATGCCATCTCTGATGCACGCTTCTGAGTTTGAGGCCAGGTGTGCATTCAGAAGGACAGAACTCCACAATTATTTAGAACAACATGAACTCAGACGAATTATGTAGGCGGATTAACCTCAGTAGAGTGCATCGAGGGCAAACCGGAAACAATCTCGTATTTTCATGTATTCATCAGAGGCTCAATGATTTAATTTTACAAACGAAAACTTATCTTTTTGCAAAAGAAAGAAAACGCAATCAAGCTGTACTAAGTTGGGGTCCTAACACCTTACTTTGTGATTCTCAGTAGGAAAAATATCTGTATCAGCTGTCAGGATCACCTTTTCCTGCCCTTGATTAATGCTTGTCTAGTTAATCTATACTGCTGTGACTGCATGTGACGCTAATAATATAATTCCACAGTCCTGTTAAAAAATAAGTACGCATTTGTATTTGTTTCAGAATTATCAAAGAAGAGTTGTATCCCATGCAATTCAAAGTATCTACATGCCATGTCAGAAGATTCTGCTAAAAAGTCACTTGAACAGGTTTCTTTCTCATACTTTGTTATAGTGAAGAACTTGATTAAGACCTGTGCTATTCCATTGATTGACCCCTTAAAACAGGTGACTGGTTGGGAACTGAAAAATGAAGGTGACATATTGAAATTACACAGAGCATGGAAGGTGAAGAATTTTGTAAAAGGGCTTGAGTTCTTTCAGCTTGTTGCTGCTCTTGCTGAGGAAGAAGGTCTCTTCTTTTCCTCTGTTCTACATATTCACATTGTCCCATTTGTCAAATTCAATAAAAAAAATGTTGGAAAGTTTCTAATGTCCAACTGACTTCCTGTCCTACAGACCTCAATCCTCATTATAATGGAATTTAAGAATATCATTGGCACATACATACCGCAGCAAGTCGATGTGTACTGCTAATAATTATATGCTTAGTACCCCAGTATCTTCAGTTCTTCACAGTGATATTAATCGTTTGCATTCTTAACTGAATTCCACATAAATATACATCATAGCTACCCAGCCCTCGCCAAACCTGGACCTCCTAAACAAATGTTATCAACGAATGTCTTGAAGGTTACAGAAGATATATTTACCCTTATTTATCCGTGGTTGTGATAATCAAACTACTTTTGTTCAAACTTTGCTACGTATGTGTTGTATTTGTTCAAGTTACATGCTGCAATTCCATTTAGCGTGATGAGAGATTTTATTTTACATTTCTAAAGGAAAATGCTACTGAAATTGGTCATGATTTTTTTTAGTACACTCAGAATCCAACAATTTTCTTGGCATGTCTTGTTTGTTCGCTTCAGTAACAATCTGGGCAAAGTATGTTTAAACGGGTATGCTTTCTCAGGTCACCACCCAGATCTTCATCTCGTCAGTTGGAACAATGTGAAAATCGATGTCTGGACTCATTCAGTCAGTAAGTGTTTCATATGGTTATTTTGGCTAATTTATTTTGACTTCACATTTACTCTAGGATTTCACGGACTGTCTTTTAGTCAAATCTCTCTTTAAAAATTTGAGTACTCGCCTCACTACTTTTCACAATGAATCTTATCAATAACTACCTATGTTGATTTCTGAGAAAAACGTAGCAGCATTGTTATAGTAGATTATTAAATCCCTGGGACCTAGTAAACCAAATTTTGTGCCGTAGTATTATTATTCTGAACAGGGACGGTTTACTAGCTATTCATTTGCTTTTTTAGGAACACTGACAGGTTGACAGTGGTATGATGTATGACCTAACTTTTAAGCAGCAAGCCAAATGATCATGTTCAAAACATTTGCCGCTCATGCTTCAATGATTATTCCCATGGTTGTTAATTTTGTTAATATCATGATAAAGTACTTTAGATGTTATGAATGTATTGATCATATCGGGTACTTTAGATGTTATGAATGTATTGATGATATCGGGTTCAAAATCTTTTGAGCATGCAAAATTCATAGATACTTAGGTGCTTGCTGCCTATTGGCAGTTAGGCGTTGTCATGATAAAAAATGCGTATTTCTTATAGTGAAATTTGATCAACTTAAAATGAAAAGAACGAGCCATAAAAAACTGGTTCATTCATCATGAACCAGTGCTAAAAAACACAAGCAAAATAAAGGACTCACCAAGATGTTTTTTTATAATTATTTATTTATCGTGGTATCAGGAGGTTTAACAGATAATGACTTCATCCTTGCTGCAAAGATCAATGAACTCAAGCTAGAAGGCCTTTTGAGCAAGAAAAAGGCTACTTCCCAGGAGTAGATTTGGGAGATCAAGCAGATAACTTTTAATGTGTAGACGCCAAGAAATGCCCTTTTATAGTCTGATGATTGTACATGCCGTTCCAAAATGAGTACTTCCGATGTGAATTCCACTTACCATTTGGTGAGATCTATCCGTTCTGGGCGATGCGTTTCTCCGATGTTGCGAATCTAGGATCATCCTAATACTTGTCTGTATCTTCTGAATATATACCGTAGTTTGAAGGTGTCATGTATGCAATGGCATAGATATATGATCATCTATCGTGTCGCCAAAATATTTGAGCCTTTTGCATTGTGGTAGCTTTTCATAAGTTAGGTGGAAGCACATTCTTTTGTGGTGTAACCCAAAAATATCACTAAAACTAGTAAAGATCCTCCTATAATTAACTAAATTTCATAAGTAAACTAGACCATTGTTGATACATCCTATTACCAATGAAAGGGCTGCCCCTTTTTTTTTGCAATTAGGGCAGCTGTTGGAGATGTTTTTTTTTTTGTCTAAAGCCCTAGAAAGCGGTTATGTCCTATTATAGGGCTGCTGTTGGCGATGCTCCTGCCTGTGAAAAAGCCACAATCGCGGATTTCTTCGTCGAGAAATAAGTTTTCGAGATGACTATTCTATTCCTTGGTTTTTCACCTCTACAAGTCAGACAGCGGTGTGACCCGGTGCTGCTAAGGGTGCGTTTGGATGCAAAGTATTTTTTGCAGTTTTTCTAGAATACTATGGTTTCTTAAAAAACTTTGGTATAAAATACTTATTTGGATGAAACAAATACTCCAGTCTAGGATACCCTGGTATCTCTCATACTGCAGTTTTTTTGCTGTATCTAAAAAAGAGGCCCCGACCTCTTTTTCCTAGACTGAGACGAAAGAAACTGGGGGAGCGCTCAGCCTCCTTTGACTCCTCAATATGTTGTATATAACCGTTAAACGAAGCTCAATCTATCTTCTGATTATTAGTGTTTTAGTTAGATGATTAGTTCTTCTACGGCCACCGGCGGCGGCGGCTGGTTCCTTATATCTGGTTGCTGCCTGCCCATTACACATGACTCGAGACGTGCATGGCATGGATGTTTGCATTGGGCGGGTGTTTCTACACAGATCATCTAATTGATTGTAGTTGAGATTGATGCAATGAGTCAAAACTATGGTAAAATAGCACTTGCCAAACGCATAGGCTGTTTTGCCAAAACAGAGAAAAAATAGTCTTTGGAAACCGAAATATTCATTGTCCACACATTGAAAAACTAAGGTTTTGAATTACTACAGTTTTTCTAAACTGTGTTGCCAAACTAGGTCTAAATTCTCACCACACGGCCGAGGCACGGGCATGTCCCACGAAAAACTACAACCAAACACAATTAGCCCGGCAACTGAAAAACTAGTACTCCCTCCGTCCCATATTAAGTGTCGCTGAGATAGATGAATCTAAACGTATTTCAGTGCTAGATACATCCATTTGACTGACACTTAATATAGGACAGAGGGAGTACAACTTAACACAAGTATTCTGCCCGTGAAAAAACTACCTGCGATTGGCACCAAGGTATTTTGTGAAGTTTTAGGAGAATATCATGGTTTTTCTTAAGCCATGGTTTTAAAGACTTTGATGCTGAGGTGTTCATTGCTAGGCATTACAATACCATAGTTTTGGGTGTTTGTTTGGGGTTACTATGGTTTTAGAAACACTGTGCTCCCAAACAAGGCCCAAACAGAAACAACCCAGCAAGAACAAACAAGGTTTCAACAAATAAATTACTTCATAGCACTGTGTTGATTTGTTCAGCGCCATCCCGCGTGATGGAGCTGGCCACAAATGATTGCAACACTCTGCTTTGATCTACTTATCTTTAATGGGGTGTTACAAAAGAAGAAAAGGGTCTACGAACTTGGCCTGTCATACCCTGCTGTAGATTAAGACGTCATCAACAAAAACAAGTACACAAACCCTAGTCAGCTCAGCCAGAATTGTGTTCATAACACTGAAGAAGAAAGAAAACATAGCAACGCAGGAAGGGTCCAAGTGCATCGGGAAGCGACCTGACACAACTCCACATAAATCTGGCAAAGAGCATCTCTAGTCTAGATAAAATGTGGTTAACTTCTTCAAACTCTGCACGAAGAGCGCATTTCACGTCCGTCAGAGGCCATGACGTTAAAGGATTTAGTCAATGAAAAAAAGTTGATCTTCAAAGCCGAAGCTGCCTTCCAGACATCCCTTAAATGCAAAAATATCACCAATAATCATCCCGATGCCTCCAGCGCCCAGGAGATGAGCTCAAGACTAGCAGGAGGCAGCAAAATGCAGATGAGTGAGGCATCAACAGAAAGTGGTACAAGAAGCAGCTCCTGTTAGATGAGTTAGGTCTTACTGTTACAAGAAAGCAGCTCACTATCGAGTAGAACTCACGACGATCTGAAACTAGTCCCGAGGCACACAACAAGTGAGAAAGAAGAGTGAGCGAAAAAAGGAAAACCAACATACTTCGAAACTATAGAAGCGCATCGACCTCCCCTTCTTGGCGCTCAAGAAGGCAGCTCAGCTGGTCTGTTTGCTTCATGGAGCATGCCAAGGTGCGCAGATAGCCTAGAAGACGCTTCTTCTTCAGAAGCACAGACCTACATCTTAGTAGCTGTGCTGCCACATCTGGTGTGATGGCTGAGACGGGGCAGTCTGGGAGCTGTTCAGGCTTCCCTCCGCAGGGTTCTGCGGGTGCTCCTGCTGCATACCATTCTGCGACTGGTAAAAGCTCGGGTACCCAAGACCACCGTACTGAGAGGGCTGCTGCACCTCACGGAAGCCACCCTGCGCGCTCTGGCCCTGGAAGCCATAAAAGTTACCAGGTGGAACAGCTGAAACAGCTCTTGAACCAGCAGCTCCATGAAGCCACATCGCTGAGTTGTCGCTCTGAAAAGAGCCACAGATGAACACCCCAGAATGAAATGAGCAAATCCTCAGTGGTACAAAAAAAGTAGTCCAGAATTTCAGAAGCTAGACGAAAGAACGTAGCACCCTGTACCTGCTGTAAGGCCATGTAGTGATTGGCCTCTTTCAACTGTGAACTTAAAGCTTCATCAATCCCCATAGTCGTGGCAGGGGAGGCACTCTGGTTTTGGCCAAAATTCGGTATATTACTTGAGCTGCCAAAGCCTCCATAACCAGAGACTGCTGATGAATGCTGTGGTGGGCTCATGACAGGAAGGCCACTCTTGTACTGCGGCATCGAGTATTTCATAGCAGATCCAGGCACAGCAGCACCACCACCACCAGATTGATGGAAAGGTCCATTACTTGAATACGCTTGCTGGAAGGCTGTTGGTGGTACATAGTAGTTTTGAGGCAAGTATGGATAGCCGACTAAACTGGCAAAAGGCCCCAGGGGTAGAGTTGGCTGAGAGTATGGATGTAAAGATAATTGCTGAGGTTGAGGTAGCCCTGACGGAATGCTCGTACTGGGAGGATTTTGTGTAGATTGAGTGTTGGAGAACCCCCCTTGGTTTAAATTCTGCAAGAATATTCAGAAAAAACTGAAACTCAGAACAGAAGTTCAAACAGCAGCACCTAAATGTTAATGATACACGCCATGATAGTGTTATTTCTCTTTTCTCTTCTTGACCACCTCTCATCATTTCACACTGGAGCTGCTCCTTCATATTGCAGAAGATTAGAAGAACATCCAAAACAATATAGGAGAACCTTCCACTTGCAAATTTGGTACCAACGAAGATATTATGCTTATGCCTACCAATTTTTTTTATGAAGTCACTACTACATTCATTGTCCAAAATAAGTTCCACAAAATGATCGATATAAGTTCCACACAGAAAAGATGCATCTTGGCACACTACTACATTCATTGCCCAAAATAAAGGGCATGACTTCTTTCTAAACTTCTGAACTAAAACTATTACATCTGACTTACTTCAGAACAAGCGCACCAGCATAAAAGAGGAAACAATGCAAAGATTGTAATTACCTCCTGCATGGAGATTGGGTAACTGGTAGTTGGCACAGCTGGGTTATATTTCATAGCTGACTGTGCTGATAAAAATGGTGAAAAGTCAAAATCCCGGTGCTGGGTAAGATTTGACCCCAAGAAGTTGCTTTGCAGAGTGTTAGCTTGCTGTGCCTGTAAGTGTAAAACAGAAGGAAAATTAGGAGAAAGGCAATACAACAAAGAAATACAATCCCATCCCACTCAGCACTGTAAGAAATTCATTGCTGAGTTTGAGAGGACTGATTTAATTTCAGACGCCTTCATATATTAACAGTCACATTGTCCAGGAACCATAGCAATTAAGGTAAAAAGTACTCCCTCTGTCCCATAATATAAGAGCGTTTTTTACACTAGAGGGAGTAGTACATAAATATAACCAGAGCAGCATGCGACTAAAAATAAACATTTTAGGCCATTCACCAAGCAGGCACATATTCTACTCCCTCCGTTCCAAATTAATTGAAGTTCTATGATTTTTCTAAGTCAAACTTTTTAAAGTTTGAAATCCGCAACTATCTATAATATCAAATATATATAATATGAAATATATTTCATAATGAATTTAATGAAGTAAATTTGGTTTTGTACATGTTGATGTGTTTTTATATAGACTTGGTCAAACTTAATGAAATACGACTTAGGACAATCCTAGAACTTCAATTATTTTGGAACGGAGGGAATACATCATTATATATCTTTTGCTAATTTATAAGTTGGTGTTGGTGGTCGCAGTGTCGCAACTCCTATCTCTCCACTGTGCAACGCCCTACTAACCTCGCAAAACAAACTGGGCTCACATCTGATTGTAATTAACCAACAAATCAAGCTTCACAATATTGTCAACCTAAAAGACTAACTCGAGTACGTATGTAGCACCATCCCCTCAGTTATCCATGCCGCAACACCGAAATCCTCTTCTTTGGTTCTTCACTGACCCCACAGAGTGCAATCAAGAGCTCGCTCGGCCCTTCGTCAAGCACTAGAGCAGCGTTGATCTGGGCGAGGATGCATGCCAGAGAGAAGGCAGATGAGCCACTCCCCTACTTTGAGCCATCGCTACTAACAGATCTGCAAATGTATGTATATATCAATAGTGCAAGAACCTCCTGGCGGAGTGGAAGTGAAGGAAGAAGCTTGGCTATGTTGCTTGTTCCAAACATCAGCAAGGTATCTCAAATCACTCATTCGCATGGCCCTGCATTATTATTTCTTGCACAAGCATCGATCTCTAAAGAAGAGAATGACATATCTTGAATTCTTGATAATTTGGTTGTCGATTGATGGATTTTAGGCCACTTGCAAACTGATTCTCAGGAGAGCGGCGGCGAGTCTGCAGAACAAGGTGACCAAGCACTGCTGGATGATCTGGAGTAACCCCACCTGCTGGCAAGTCTGCACTATAGCGATGATGTGGTTTCAGTCCCCTCGAAATGATCAGAGATAACCCCAGGAATTTGCTTTAATGATTTTTGGTGAGTTTTAAATTCGGTATGGATTTGACTTCCAATTTTGAGACAAATAAATTGGTATTCCTCGGATCACCAAAAGTTTGAACGTTTCAGTTAAAATTTTGAAAAGAATGTAAACCCTGGCAATGTCCCCAAGGCAAGCCCCAGAGGCTCTCATCAAGCACTCGCATCTGTGTCTTCACAACAGCTAATAGATCGCCGTTGTAAGAGGGGCACCACATACAACATGGAGCACAGGTGGAGAGGGACAAGTTCATCCTATAGGAGCTGTGCTTGCCACAAACCTAACTGCATTGTTCAGCTCATGGAAGAAGTGAACACGCCCAACCTACTAAAGGCCAGTAGCAACTGTGACAAGGAGCAAATTCTACAGAAGGTCGTCCAATACTAAGCTCAAGCGATACGCTTAGTGTGCCACCATATTGCTAGAGCAAAGAAAACTGCAGTAGGAACTAGGAACGTGCACATGTAACATCTAAGGTGTGTATAGCTAGAGCAGGACTGCAGGATGACAGCGCAGCCACGATAGAGCTGGAGCCAGAACCTAGAGGTAGCAAACAGGAAGGAAGGCGACAATTAATTGTCTTCCCATGATTTGGGGGTGAAGAAGAGGACGAGTAGCAGAGAGAATGGTTTCCCAAGTGAGAAAAGGATGTTGTGCCTCTCGCAACCCGGCCCAAAACAGCACGATCTTCGTGCTTGCGGGCACGTACAAAATAGAACCACTCTTGCACAGGTATCTTTCCCGTAAGTGATCCAGCGGCTCTACCATTTCAGTACTAGATAAAGCTAACCTTACATCAATAAACGTGTAACAACTTGAAACCAATCTAGCTTTTTTAGATTATATATTAGTATGGTCTATGATTCACATTAATTGTTATGCTTATGCAGTTCTAAATGCACTGCATGTTTTTCATGCCGAAGCTACAAACCAACCTTATATGTAGCTCATTTGTCCAGGAATAACAAAGACCCTTTTGTAACAGTTACAGCTTACATATGTACTCTAACAAACCTCAATAACAAGCTAAACATGCAGTTCTAATGCTTCAGCAAGTCCCAACGTCATGAAAGTCTTATATTAGTCCCAGACTCCCACACGGTGTCTATGCTGTCATCAAGGTGATAAATCAAAAGTTCAGGTGCTAAACATATGATGAAAAGATAAGTTTTATTGGTTTCCCTTCAGAATGAAACTACCCACTATGTTCGTGATGGAAAGATAAGTTTTATTGGTTTCCCTTAAGAATCAAACTACCCACTATATATGTGATCCCATATCTGGAAGAAGACAACTATACCAGCAAGCTTGAAAAATGGGAAAGATGTTGTGCTTGAGCGTTTCCTTGTTGGCTCTCCATTATACTTGGCTGTGTTGTGTTCGGATACACATGATCCGAAACTGATGGCGGGTTATACTGAAGACCAGACACATCTAGAGCACCTTGCATCAGTATATCAGGCTGCGAAACTGAAGGGACATCAGTATTCTCAATGTTGGTACCTATTCTGGTTTCAACATCCTCATTTGCTGATGACTGTAGAGCACCATTGTCATAATAATCTTGATTCCTGTAAGAAAGGTGCCATAAGACAAGATGCATTTTGTGTCATGAGTAGGAACATAGCAGGAAATTAGTTTGCACCTGACATCTATTTGATCAACTGCTGGAGTTTCATCTGAGTTGGGCACCTCTTCCACACTATATTTAGGGACCTTGGATGGAAGCAACCCAGAGAAGGCACCAGATTCAAAACTACCAAAGCTCAGATGTGCGCAGTCTGTATTTTCAAGTTGTAGATGATCGGGGATTATAACCGCTGGATTATCATCAGCAGAATTAGCTGCTGCTAGATCTTCGTTTTGCAAGCTTAGATGCTGAAAGTTCGTTGCAGCTGAGTCCACATCAACGTTGGAAACCTCAACTGCAAACGATTGCGTCATCAGATTCCTTATTAGTAATTATATATGTTATAAGTATAAAAGAACAGTGTTTAAGGCAATAAGGACATAGCATATACAAAGAAAAGATTGTTAGTGAATGAACATAGAAAAAAAGGACTAAACAATATTTTCACTTGTATCGATAGCACATAAAGAGACGAGAGCTTCGCCTTTGGAAGCGCCAGTAGCGTAGGGCGACCGGGCCAGCCGAGCGGAACAAATAATAAGCCAGTAAGGCAATCTCCATGCATAGCAGTTTTGCAAAACTGCAACCACCACAGCCTCCATGAACATGTGTCACTTTACAGCATCAAAGGGCAAACGGAAAGTGCAAAACTGAGCAATGAGTGGATGACTGGTTTTCGTTTTTCTATGCGAAGGCAATGCCATTAAATATTGAATGACATCCCTGGGAGCCACTAGACAGTATGCCTGATCCATGTTTATGTGATGTCTTACTACAACAGAAATATGCACTTGATGCTCAACGTACGTAAGGTGGTTGGCTGGTCAGGGGTGGGGGTGCCAAACGCCCAAACATAAGACTAGCCAGTTGGAGGAACGTTTCAACCTCCCCAAGGACAGCTATCACCTATCAGATAACAGAACAGTGTTTTCTCACAAAGAAATACAAAGATCATTCTATTTATTATCCAGCCTCCAAAAAGTATAAGCATCTACTTTGTGACATAAAAAATAGAACACATTGATAATTGACTTTTAAGATGCATAACCAGAAAAAGAAGTTCCATTGGTCACAAGATTTGCGATTTGAGATCTATACTAACCTTCATCGGCAAATGAATGCATTTGAGATTGGTATGTACTTGAGTTCTGCAACAATTCATCACCGAATCGAACTTGGTCGTGAAGAACTTCCAAGTGTCTCTCAGAAGGTATTGCTGTCTGCTTTACAATTGAAGTGTTATCTTCTGTGTGAGACTTCTCATGCAAGTTAACGGCATCAGCAACCAGCACTGATGACTCCAATGATGCCACAAATGATAATGGGCCACCAGATGGCTCAGGGGCTGTGAATTGACTTTGTGATGGTGGTCCATCCTGTGGAAACCAAACACTTTCATGTGTTTGGTGGCTGTCTGCCGAAGTGTGATTTGAATTTATAACTTGAGGAATGGGATCTGGAAGAGCTGGAAATCCTTGGTCAAATGTTGTCGGGGCGACTCTGCTTGCGGATTGTTTTGTGTTATGGTTGGTTTCATTTGACAAAGATGGGTTTTGACCAGCAAATGCTTTGTCTGCCGTAGCCATAGACTTGCTAGAAGACCTTCCTTGAGGTCTGCCCATTTTAACTATATCAGCCATTGACATCTGACCAGGCACCCCACACCAATTCTGCTGAAATCCTGACGATGATTGTGATGCTCCGCATAATCCATCAGGAACCACGTCCTTGTTTGCAAAGGAACTGCAACATAGAAAGCAAAAATGTCAGTTAACAATAATAAATAAAACACAACTAGACCAGCAGAAACTTCTACATCTTCAGCCTTCATTACCTCGGAACTGTTGGCTTCTGAGTGGAATTGGTTGATGGAACACCAGGTCCCAATATCGATGACCTTGAAGCCACGTTATCTAGTAGGATTGAAATGAACATGAGAAAAAGATTATAGAAAATGTGAAAACTCATGGATACAAACATTATTTTATCTTACCAACTCCGCCGGATACAGACTGAACTGAACTGCTTCGGTTAGTACGATCTGTGCCAACTCTAGCAGCACGACTGTTTGAGTTATTTGCTCCTCGGGATCTTGGCTCAGGTGTACCTTTATTCACCTGTGTGAAATTTCAATACATTCTTGATGTAAGTTCTCAAGACTAAAGCATGGCATAGTAAATCAATAATTAGGAAATTAGTTGGATATTTAAACTTTCTAACACAAAAATTTACCAACAGTGAACAAATTAAATGGCTGATATATTGACAAATTATTATTGCTTTCATTCATCCTAGAACTAAAATTATATGGTCAATAGTAGATTAGATACAAGCCTTCTTTTCATTTTGAAGAGCTGGAAGACCCTACTAAAAATAATATTAGCTACAAGTATGCAAAGTGGCACAGATACAAGTTGAGTATCATAATCAACTGACCTCCTTTTTCTTGTCGCGCTTGTTCTTTACCTCTTGAAAAGTATCTGGAAAAAGATAGAAAATCTGTGAGATGCTTTACATAAGAGGACTACTGGGAGTATGAAATAACATCAGATCAATCTCAAACTGCTGTTAGTATTAGAACTTCCTGTTGAATTGCAAGATCTGCATCCCCAAATCATCCGAAACATGTCAGGTAAATCAAAGAAAGATGGTCATGTAATTCAAACAGTAATATAGACGAGGCAATTATTCACCCAGTATATCCACAATGTTCAGTCATAATCTTTGGATTAATAAAAGGTTGATGATACAAATTAAAGAAACTCTGTGGTAGCAATTGGGCTGGTGTAACAAGACTGAAATGGGAGGCACCAAACCACTAAGGGATTAGGTCCCAGTTCCTTGAATGGAAGTAAGACACAAGTGGTAGTGATCTTAAGGTATGCAAATGGACAAAAGTGCCAAATCACATAGGCAACTACGAGCATTCAATTAAATAAGATTCCAGCTCTAACTTTCTGTTAACCCTTGTCTCACTACCATCGACTAGCACCACATCATCCACAAAGAGCATATACCATGGGATATCTTGTATATCCCTTGTGACCTCATCCATCATCAAGGCAAAAAGATAAGGGCTCAAAGCTGACCCTTGGTGCAGTCCTATTTTAATCAGAAAGTCATCAGTGTCGCCATCACTTGTTCGAACACTTGTCAGAATATTATCGTAGATGTCCTTGATGAGGGAAATGTACTTTGTTGGAACTTCGTGTTTCTCCAAGGCCCACCACATGACATTCACGGTATCTTATCGTAGGCCTTCTCCAAGTCAATGAACACCATATGCAACCATATGCAGGTCCTTCTTTTGCTCCATGTATCTCTCCATAAGTTGCACGAAGAAAATGGCTTCCATTGTCGACCTCCCGGGCATGAAACCAATTTGATTTTTGGTCACACTTGTCATTCCTCTTAAGTGGTGCTCAATGGCTCTCTCCCCATAGCTCCATTGTATGGCTCATCAGCTTAATTCCATGGTAATTAGTACAACTTTGAACATCCCACTTGTTCTTGAAGATTGGTACTAATATACTACGCCTCCATTCTTCTGGCATCTTGTTTGCCCGAAAAGTGAGTTGAAAAGCTTAGTTAGTCATACTATCGCTATGCCTCTGAGGCCTCTCCACACCTCAATGGGGATACAATCAAGGCCCATTGCCTTGCCTCCTTTCATCCTTTTTAAAACCTTCCTAACCTCAGACTCCTGGATTCGTCGCACAAAATGCCTTCTGGTATCATCAAAGGAGTCGTCCAGCTCAATGATAGAGCTCTCGTTCTCACCATTGAACAACTTGTCAAAGTACTCCTGCCGTCTATGCTTGATTCTTCACCGGGAGTTGATCTGCTTCGTTTTTTATGCATTTGACTTGGTTGACATCCCTCATCTTCCTCTCTCGGATCTTGGCCATCTTATAGATGTCCCTTTCGCCTTCCTTCGTGTCTAAGCACTAGTAGAGGTCGTCATACGCCCGACCCCTTACTTCACTCACAGCTCACTTTGCGGCCTTCTTTGTCACCTTGTACTTCTCTATCTTGTTTGCACTCCTATCCAAGTGTAGGAGATTCACTTCTACTCTCCCCTAGTCACCCCAAACTCCTCTAAAGCCCCCTTAAGAATGCAAGTCGCATCTTCATCCACATATTGTTTGCATCACCCTCTTCTCCCAGTCCCAGGGGCCCTCCTTAATAACCCTCTCCTTGAAAGCCTTAGTTGTCTCCACCAGCTTCCACCACTTCGTTCTAGCGATTTTAGCGCGCTTATCCCACTGCACACAAATCTGAAAGCAAAAGTCAGCCTCCCAGAAGCTTATGTTGAGGGACAACACTCTCCAGGTATCACCTTACATTCTATGCAAGCATGCATGTCTTCTCTTCTTGAGAGGACAAAATCAATCTGGCTAGAGTGTTGAGCACTACTAAAAGTCACTAGATGGGATTCCCTCTTTACCGAAAAAGGCTTTCGCCCCGCTTTATATATAAAGCAATGACCAACAACACACCGATACAAACGCACGCCACCACAACACACGCACACACCCAAGGCAAGATACATAGGCGTTGAGCGCATCGACACCACCCCAAGCACTACAAGAGAAGCCGGGGCCTCGACCGTGAACACGCCACTGCGAAGAGATGAAGTCGCATACGACGAACCGTGGGCTCCAAGGCGGCGCCTTCAGGAAGGAAACGACACCGGAGCGCCGCCACCACCCGACCCGAGGGTCAGAGTTTCCCCTGGAGCAACACGACGCGCAATGATGGTCGAGACGACGCCTTCAAGAAGGGAACGAGTTTCGCCGCCGCCAGTCTGTCCGAAGAAAGAACAGGTTTTCACCCCGGCCAAAATTCACCGCCACCGGACGCCACACCCCGGCGACCATGCCGCCCACACGACCATGGTCACCGGGCAGCACCAAGCCACGGGCTCTGCTCATGAGCACCGCGATACCACCATCAGGGCCGCCGCCCCGGGCATCCAAGACCTCAACGCCACCTCACCTGCCACCCATCGCTACCCCAACCAAAGAGATGAGTGGAAAGGCCCCGCCTTTAGCACTCCTGAGCTGCCCCCAATGCTGAGACCCACTAGGCCGGCCAAAACTAGCCTCCATCGGCTCGTCCTGCTGCCGGGCGCGAGACGAGCTCGGTCCTGCTGCGCGCGATACGAGTCCGGTCCTGCTGCCGGGGCGAGACGAGACGGTCCTGCTGCCGGCGCGAGACGAGTCCGATCCTACTGTCGGGCGCGAGACGAGTCGGTCCTGCTGCCGGGCGCGAGACGAGCGATGGACCGCAACCGGGAGAGGGCCAACCCTTTGATGAAGGTAGTGCCCGAACGACGAGGAGAGGAATCGAAGGTCAACGGAGGCGCTCATCGACGGGCCGACGCCGAAGAAGTCCAGCCGCCGCAGTGAAACGTCCCAACCACCGCCGTGAGCCACCACCACGCCGTGGCAGCCCACATCCACGCCGAGCACAGCCCACGGCACCTGCCATCACCGGATCGGCCGGGGGCCGGCAGGTCCACCACCACCAGGGAGCGCCGCAGCAGGGCGGCCACCGGAGCAAGCCACCACCTGCGGCGAGCCGGAGCCCCGCCACCACAAGGGCCCAGGTCACCTGAGCCGCAGCCGCGACAGATCTAGGCCACGCCCAAACGCCGCCGCCGCCGGGAGCAGGGCCAAGCCCTCGTCGCCAACCGTCGTCGCCGCGCCGCCGCGCCCTGAGCCAGCGTCGCGCCGCCGCCCAACAAGGATGGCCCGCGCCATCGCCGTGCGCCGCCCGAGCTGGCCGGGCTTTGCCCGCCAGCACGTTGGGGCGGCGGCAAGGGGAGGGAGAAGCGAGGAAGGGGCCGAGCCCCGCAGGCTAGGGTTTCCCCCCAGCGGCGCTCGCTGGAGCAGCCAGGGAGGGGAGGGGGACCGGATTCCCTCTTTTAAAGAGGTGTTAGCTACAATCATGTCGCTGGCTAGAGCAAAGCTTAAGACATCTTCTCCTTCTTGATTCTTGATGTCATAGCCAAAGTCCCCATGCAACCCTTTGAAACCTATGTTAGATATACCCACGTGGCCATTGAGATCTCCTCCTATGAAGAGCTTCTCGTCAATAGGTACACTCCTAACCATGTCCTCCGGGCCTTCCCAGAACTCCCTCTTGGTGCTCTCATTGTGGCCTACTTGCGGGGGATACACGCTGATAACATTGTGAACCAAGTCCCCAACTACCAGCTTGACCCAGGATAATCTGGTCCCCTTGCCTCTTGACGTCTACCACTCCATACTCTTGTTGATCAAGGTGCCTACTACATTTTTGTTTGTAATTGTCCTATGTACCACAAGTTGAAGCCGGTATCCTCCACCTCCTTTGCCTTTTGTCCCCTCCATTTGGTTTTTGTCCCCCGTGAAACAGACCTACATTGAGCCTCGTTCCAAAATAAAACCAAGCCAAGTTCATCTAAATTCTGCACAGCACACACTATGGAAGGAACAAAAACTATCAAAGGGACAAAACCACATCACTTTGATCATTTGCAAATTCAAATTGAAGAATCCAACTTTTTAGGACTGTCGTCGTTGAAGAACATCTCTGATGTTATCGACCCATTCTTGATACCATATCCTCTTATCTTCAATTGCTAATAAAACACAGACTTAGATAGTTAGGCCCTAAATCCAGTTCAATACAACTTGGATATGATGAAGGAACTTACGATCCAAAACCAACCTAGGTTTTGGGTCCTCCATGGCATTTGATCGAAGGCTTTGCTTTTTCATCTTTTCCTTCCCTTACCCTAAAGGGTCAACTACGTTTCTCCCCATCAAGGTAGGCTGCGCTTGGCTTTTCAAAAGCCCTTAATTGTTTCTCTTTGGGGGCATTATAGCTATTGACAGACTTCTACTTTTGGATGCAACAGCAAAATCTTGCTTGAATAAGTAAGTATCCCTTAACTAACTATATTCTACATTTCAGCATCGCATAATTCAACAGCCGCAGGCTAGTCCCATGTTCAAAAAATTATTTCATACACTGTCAAACACAAGAAACAGAGCCTTGTGACAAGAAAAAATTGTCATGTGCTACTGCTCCTCTCATCAAAACCAGAAGGTTAGGTTAATGCTGACGTACTCGGAAATATAAAAACACCACTAAAAATAGCACAAAAAGAAAACGAGCAAATAACTACAACCCCATCCTAAACAAGAGGCCTAATAGATGCAAAAAAGAAAAACTCTACAGAGGAACAAATCTTCGCAACAGCCCTGGACCGGGGACTCCATCAGCACAGTACCAAATCAGCATAAATCCCTGAGGTGGAATGAAACGGGCACGTTTGTTCCAATCCATTGGCCACAAACACAGCCCAAAGGCTAACCAACGCAGCCAAAACTTGAGCAAAGACCTTAAGGGGTGCAGGGAAAGTGGGGGAGCGGGGTGCTGCAGAGTAGATGGGACCTTGGGAGAGGAGGCGGCTGACCGCCTCGTCAGGGTCCATGCCGCAGTCGCGCAGCGCCGCGTAGATCTCTGAGTCGGAGCGGCTCACGATCTCCTTGAGCCCCTGCACCAGCTTCCTCGCGGACGCCGGCACCGGTCCCGCCGCCGGCCCCCTCCCTCCCCCTCCTCCGCCGCTCATCCTCGCCGCCGGGAACCGCCGCCAAAACAGCTCCTCCTCCTCCGCTTCCGCTTCCGCTGTGTGTGTGTGTTAGAGAGCCGGGCTCGGAGCAGCAGCAGCGCCTCCTCCGCTTCCGCTGGGTCTCGGTTCTCAGCTCACGCGCGGTTAACGGCGGCCGAATTCCAAAACCCTCCCTCCGCGCTTCCCCCTCGCCTACCTTTATATAGCTCGATGCGATGCGATGCGGAGGAAGAAATGGGGTTAAAATCTAATTTCCCACTTCTGTCCGCGCCTAACCTCTGCTCCCTCCTCCCTAATCTCTATCCGTCGCCGCGTACACTTGTCGCGGAGATGTGGATGATGGGAGGTGCGAATGAATATCTAAAGCTGACAGGCCGGGACACATCTCGATGGGGCCCGCGTGCAGCCTCTGCGTCTAAGAGGGCGCGTGCAGCCTCTGCACGCCCCCGAGGCTAGCATGTGGGGCAACATTGTCGGTGTCCCTACGTGTCGCCCAACCGTGTGACTAGCGTGGATGCAGGGTTATCCCTGAGCAGATGATGATCGGCCCGCATTGTCAGTGTCAGATATGCGTACGAAACTGACGAAACATTTGGGCTCTTTTCGGGTATAGGACGAGGGCAGTCAGTAAGATTCCCCCTTTCCGTTTTGGGGGCATTTTTACGAGAAAGAATTTTGCAGGGCAGTAAGAGTAGATCTGCACGCCCCCTTACGGCAATAGATACATATGCCTCATAATAAAAAGTAATTTAAGCCACCTACATTTTTTTTTCTCCCCAATGCAAGCTACCACTAATGGGCCTCATTAAGAAATAGAAAATAATGACTCTATTACACATGCATATCTACTTTTCACTCCAACCTTTTTAGCTTTTATCACCGGACCACACTTTTTCTCTTCAAGCACCCGCCTCCTGAAAAGGATCCCGCTTCTCTATCCGAACCTACTTTACGTCATACCCGATCCTACATGGCATGCGAGGCATCACCTTCAGGCTATGCATTGTACATGCCCTTAGTGGCAAGTTAGTTGGGTACTTTTCCAAATTTGGTTAGATTCCTTCTCCCTCCTTTAGGCAGGCTATTTCCATGTTTCCCCGGAGAGAAAAAAGGTTTTTCGTACTGGCTGCCTTCTAATTGCAACAACTTTTGAAATTTTGTGCATAGGAAAAAATTGTTAGAAATTTTGCGTTGATCTTTTGATATTTTCTGTAGTGCATTTTGATAGGGAAACTATATCTGCAATAGTCTTCAGCCTGTCTTCCCAACAAAGATTGAAAAGTTTAATGTCTCTAAACATGGGCGGATCTGGGCCCCAGGCAGCCCAGGCAATGGCCTGGGGCGTGACAAATTTCCCAGCCTAGAGGGAAAAAACTGGTCTGGGGCGCAGCCCACTTCATACCCCTGTTGCTGGCCATTGGCCAGCCCAATAACAAAAAAGTGAACGAAAACAAGAAAGACAGAAGGGCCTCTGCAGCTGGTACGTAGTGTAGGAGAGTCTTTTTTCACCAGAAAAGGAAGATCTTTTGACGTAGCATACGTAGCCCGTGTTAGGCTGGTTGATGAAGAGATTTCTCTTGCTAGCCACTGTCTCCAAATCCTAATTTTTCTTGCTAGTTTTCTTTTGCGGCGAATTTCTCTTGCTAGTTGCCCCTGTCTGATGCTTGATTGAGAAAAGATCTTTAATTCTTAATGCTTTTCCCTTTTCATATTGTATTCCTTAGTTTTGTAGTTCTGCAGAGAACATAAATGTGGAATCCGGTTTAGTAATTCACATTTTGCATTTGTTATTAAACCAGCTAAGTTAAAACAAATCCTGAATACACCGATTTGCAATTCAAAATTTATACTTTTTTGGGGAAATGTTTGGATCTATTCATCTTCAATCATGTCAATAAAACGAACACCAGATATAATAAAAATTATATCCAGGTTCATAGACTACCTAGCAACGACTACAAGCACAGAAGCGAGCCGAAGACACGTCGCCGTCATCGCCCCCTGCTTGACTTTTATATGCTTTGAAACAGAATTTTTCAGGGGGCGGGGGGCGTTATTTTTTTACCCGTTTCTCGCCTGGGGCGTCGGCCAATCCTGGCTCCGCCACTGTCTCTAAAGCCAAGGCAACCTAGCTAGATACTTTGGTCTTGTCATTACTTTCCATGAGACCCAAGCTAACTTGCGTTATCCTTGCTTAGGGCATCTCCAACGGCGACCCATGAATTTTCTTCCGCATCCGTCCGCGAACATAGATGAGGAAGACGCCATCCAACGCCATGCGGGCTGGCCGGCGGCTCCTCCTCTGTCATAGTTGCCCGCTCCATCGTCGGAATCGGGCTTCGGGCTGTGAGAGGTGGCGACATCGCAACAGGGAAGAAAAGGGTGGGAGAAAAGAGCGGGAATTGGGCGGAGAGCGGCGGGGAATGGAAGAAGAGAGTGGGGGATTTTGGTGTGGAAATGGCACGGGATGCTACAGAAAGCACGTGTTTCGCCTTCCTTTCGGATGGGCCAGAGGTAGAAAGCGATGTTTCGGGTGTCCGGACTCCCGCACCCCCCCCCCACACACACACATTTGTCTCCGATTTGTGGAAGAAAACGCATCCGAACCGATACAGGACCGTGTTGGATGGCTTCCATGGTCCGGACAACGCGGCCCGGACTCACGCGAGGGTTTGCGGGTCAGCGTTGGAGATGCCTTTACACCCCCACCGAAACTTCTAAATAATGGAATTAATGTTCTTGCACAATCCTCGCGGAAGCTTAAACCATGTCATAGAGTAGATTAGGATAGCCTAAGCCACTAAATTTATAAGAAACATGTAGTGACCAGACCTCAAACAGTCTGACCTCTGTGCATTAGTGTCATCCCTGGATCGGTAATGCTGACACGCACAATACTTGAAGGATTTATAACAGAGTAGCAATCACACACTTATTACATCGAGTGTCTCAAAAGAAAACTTATTACAATAAATATGGCTTAAGGCCATCTAAATACGATAACAGCGGAAGGCTTGGAAGATAAAGTGAGTCCATCAACTCGAACGGCATCACTGAGTGAAAGATCACGCCCTAAGACACCTTACTCGTCATCTGAAAAGTCTGCAATATGAACGTTGCAGTCCGAAATGGGTCAACACATGGAATATGCTGGCAATGTAACGCAAGAGAGTAATGAATAGAATAATGCTATCACTACATGCATATATGGCTGGTGAAAAGCTCTATGGCTACAGTTTTGCATAAAGCCAATTTTTCCCTACAACAAAGAAGTAAATTTTGTTTAACTATCATAGTGGTTGTTAAACATTGAGAAGGTTCACCCAACTCAATCCCAATAAAGCATCATCATTAAACCCAATCAAATTAAATGAAGAGTGATGAGATCCACATGATAATCCAAGAACTAGATACTCAAAACGTCCATAACCGGGGACACGGCTAACCATAATTAGTTTGTACACTCTACAGAGGTTTGCACACTTTTCCCCTACATCTGCTAGCCCACCACTGAAAGAGGTCTTGCAACATACTCAGCTATGCTAGAGCCCATAATAGCTTGTGGCTGCACACGGAAGTTTCTAGCATGAATAATCTTATGATCCCTTTGAGACCGGGTGGCAGTCCATAGGAAAATCACACGGTACCTCGGGATTTCCAAAAAAAGGCAACATTGGGTTCCCCAGGTGCCTCAATCCACCCAGATATGTATTAAAGTAGCCACCTTAAGTTAACCATTAAATAACAATACTCACATCTTCATGGATACACTCACCCAATCCACGTCTACAAGCATAGCATAGCAATATAAGCAACGTAGAAGTAACTCCCAAAGGTTTGATAATAAACAGGACAATAGGTACTACCTCATCTACTTCCTAAAACCCACATATTAATCAGATCCTAACCATGCATTTGTTTGAGGATTGATCTAATGCAATAAAACTGGGTAGTAAAGAGGTATGATCAAAGTGTTACTTGCCTTGTTGATGATCCGTGAAACCTAGAGACTCGTAGTAGCACGCTTTGCACTCCGGGTACTCTATCACAAACAAACAAGCATATAATAAGCACTCAACTAGAAGCACGGGTTAAACTCAAATAAAAGATCTAACCAGAAAGTTCAACTTAAGAACTCCAGTTTGCAAAAAGAATAAAATCAAACGAAACAACAAAAGTCAAACTGCGAAAGAAACAAGCTCCGTTTACTAATCTGGACTTAAGTCAAATTTTACAGTAGCGAAAACTTGTTTAAATTGGTTAAACAGAAAGAGGGCTTCGAGACGAAACTCTAGGCGCTTGAATCGCCTAATTCCGATAAACGAGCGAAAAGATAAACTAAAACGAAAATCAGGGCAGAAATCACGACTGAAAATAATCGCGGAAAATCCCTGGAAAAAGAAAAACTGACGAACAGGCTAACAAACGAACGTTCGTTGTCTGCGGCTAAACGGTGTAAATCGTTCATTAAAACGAACGAACGAATGGGCGTTCGTTAAATAACTAAAACCGGGGAAAAAATAAACCGATCTAAAAAATAATTGCGGGTTCTAGAAAAAACTGAACGGTTTTTAGATTAAAACCGACGGCTACCTCATAGATCGAGACGGCAGCGGCGGCGGCGTACTCCGACAAGGCAGCAGGGTCGGGCGGGGTCGGCAGGCGGCGGTGACGGCGTCCGGCGGCGGCGAGGCGAGGGGCGGCGGCGGCGGCTGGCGGCGGGGTCGGGGTCGGCTGGGGCGGGGCTAGGGTTTGGGGGCGGCTCGGGCCTCCACTTAAAAAGGACGGCCGGGCGGAGTCCTAGTCGAGCACGGCCCGGCTAGGTCGGTTGACTTTTTCTTAAAATAATTTCCCCAGCAGAAAAACAGATAAAAGAAATACTAAACGGAATTCAAAAATCCTGAAATAAATTTTCCTCGTCCTCTAAAAATATAGCGGACAAAGTGAACATCTATTTGGGCCTCTAATGCAATTTTAAAAAACGCATATTTTTCCTAATT